AGTTATCCTTGATATATCTAATATGTATGACAATGGTGATCCAATACTTGAGAGCCCGAATTTAAGCATGCTCTTGCTGAACCTCACACAGCTTACAGAGCTTTATCTTGATGGAGTAAGTATCCCAGCACATGGTACTCACTGGTCCATAGCGATATCATCTTCACTGCCAAACCTGAGTGTGTTGAGCTTGTCATCTTGTAATCTTTCAGGTCCTATTGATCAATCCCTCGCTAAACTTCACTCTCTATCCGTGATTAGATTGGATCATAATTACCTAATCTCTGGTCCAATTCCAGGATTTTTTGCCAACTTTTCAAACCTGAGGGAGTTCAACTGGGGTGGTAACAATATTTCCGGTCCAGTTCCATTATTCTTTTCCAATTTCTCAAAGTTGACTTCCTTGAATCTCGTGGCATGTGAGTTGCGTGGGACATTTCCCAAACAGATCTTTCAGATACCTACTCTACAAACTATTGACCTTGATACTAATGGTGAACTTCATGGTTCCTTGCCAGAATTTCCAAAGAATGGATCTCTTAGGTCCTTGGATCTAAGCCTTACCAACTTTTCAGGGTTAATGCCGGACTCTATTGGCAACCTCAAAATGCTCTCCACGATAAATCTTTTGAGATGTAATTTCACGGGATCAATCCCGAAGTCACTGGCGAACCTAACACAATTGGTTTATTTGGACTTGTCATCAAACATGTTCAATGGTCCAATTAGTTCTATCCACTGGGAGAAGCTTAGTAATTTGGTATATCTCCAGTTGAATGACAATCTACTTGAGGGGAGTATTCCGTCTTCTCTCTTTTCTCTTCCCTTATTGCCAGAGATAGTACTTTCCGACAATCAATTCTCAGGTAAACTCAGTGAGTTTCCTAACGTCTCTTCCTACTTAGTTACCCTTGATTTAAGTTTCAACAATTTGGAAGGACAAATGCCTGTGTCTATCTTTAATTTTGGAGGCCTTGAATCACTTCGTCTTTCTTCCAACAATTTCAGTGCCTTTCCGTTCAATGGCCCTCAACAGCTGAAAAATCTTA